ATACTTTTCACCCAGAGACTCTTCACCCAAAAACTCTTCTTGCACAGACATTTCACCCATATATTTTTCACCCAGAGACTCTTCACCCAAAAACTGTTCTTGCACATACTTTTCACCCAAAAACTCTTCACCCAGAAACTCGTCTTGCACATATTTTTCACCTATATATTTTTCACCCAGAGACTCTTCTTGCACAGATTTTTCACCCAAAGATTCTTCACCCAGAAACTCTTCTCGCACATACTTTTCACCCATATACTTTTCACCCAGAGATTCTTCTCCCAGAATTTTTTCTTGCACATACTTCTCACCAATATACTTTTCACCCAGAGACTCTTCACCCAAAAACTCTTCATGCACATACTTTTCACCCATATACTTTTCATCCACAGACTCTTCACCCAGAAACCCTTCTTACACATACTTTTCACCAATATACTTTTCACCCATATACTTTTCATCCAAAGATTCTTCATCCAGAAACTCTTCTTGTACATAATTTTCACCCAAAGACTCTTCACCCAGAAATTCTTCTTACACATACTTTTCACCCATATACTTTTCACCCAGAGGCTCTTCACCCAGAAACTCTTCTTGCACATACTTTTCACCCCTGAACTTTTTCCACAGATTCTTCACCCAAACACTCTTCTTGCACATACTTTTCACCCAGAGACTCTTCACCCAGAAGCTCTTCTTGCACATACTTTTCACCCATATACTTTTCACCCAGAGACTCTTCACCCAGAAACTCTTTTTACACAGATTTTTCACCCAGAGACTCTTCACCCAGAAACTCTTCTTGCACATACTTTTCACCCACATTTTTTTGAACCCAGAGACTCTTCACCCAGAAACTCGTCTTGCACATACTTTTCACCAATATACTTTTCACCCATAGACTCTTCACCCAGAAACTCTTCTTGCACATACTTTTCACCAATACACTTTTGACCCAGAGACTCTTCACCCAGAAACTCTTCTTGCACATACTTTTCACCCATATTTTTTCATCCAGAGACTTTTCACCCAGAAACTCTTCTTACACATACTTTTCACCCATATATTTTTCACCCAGAGACTCTTCACCCAGAAACTCTTCTTGCACATACTTTTCACCTAGAAATCCTTCTTGCACATGCTTTTCACCCATATACTTTTCACCCAGAGACTCTTCACCCAGAAACTCTTCTTGCACATACTTTTCACCCATATACTTTTCACCCAGAGACTCTTCACCCAGAAACTCTTCTTGCACATACTTTTCACCCATTTATTTTTAACCCAGAGACTCTTCACCCAGAAACTCTCATACTTTTCACCAATATACTTTTCACCCATAGACTCTTCACCCAGAAACTCTTCTTGCATATATTTTTTCACCCATATACTTTTCACCCAGAGACTCTTCACCCAAAAACTCTTCTTGTACAGACATTTCACCCATATATTTTTCACCCAGAGACTCTTCACCCAAAAACTGTTCTTGCACATACTTTTCACCCAAAAACTCTTCACCCAGAAACTCGTCTTGCACATATTTTTCACCTATATATTTTTCACCCAGAGACTCTTCTTGCACAGATTTTTCACCCAGAGATTCTTCACCCAGAAACTCTTCTCGCACATACTTTTCACCCATATACTTTTCACCCAGAGATTCTTCTCCCAGAAATTTTCCTTGCACATACTTCTCGCCAATATACTTTTCACCCAGAGACTCTTCACCCAAAAACTCTTCATGCACATACTTTTCACCCATATACTTTTCATCCACAGACTCTTCACCCAGAAACCCTTCTTACACATACTTTTCACCCAGACAAACTTCTGGTACATACTTTTACCCATATACAGTTCATCCAGGAGGAACTCTTCACCAGAACTCTTCTTGCACATACTTTCACCATATTACTTTTAACCCCAGAGACTCTTCAACCCAGAAAACTCTTCATGCACATACTTTTCACCCATATACTTTTCATCCACAGACTCTTCACCCAGAAACCCTTCTTACACATACTTTTCACCAATATACTTTTCACCCATATACTTTTCATCCAAAGATTCTTCATCCAGAAACTCTTCTTGTACATAATTTTCACCCAAAGACTCTTCACCAAG